GATAGTTTAATAAATGATTGGGACATTAAAAGAGGGAGGAGTTGAGTGAGACGTGAAAAAAGTGCTTGAGTTAGTGAGTGAGTGAGTGAGTGAGTGAGTGAGTGAGTGAGTGAGTGAGTGAGTGAGTGAGTGAGTGAGTGAGTGAGTGAGTGAGTGAGTGAGTGAGTGAGTGAGAGGGCGAGGGAGGGAGGGGGAAGAGGGCAGTGAGGGAGGGGGCAGAGATGGAAGGAGGAAGTGAATGAGTGGAGGAGTGAGTGAGTGAATAAGAGAGTGAGAAACAGACATGGGAAAACTGAGAGTGGAAAGGAAATTGAGAGTCTGTGTGTGTATGTGTGTGTGGAGAGAGAGGGGGGGAGGGAGAGAGAGAGAGAGAGAGAGAGAGAGAGAGAGAGAGAGAGAGAGAGAGAGAGAGAGAGAGAGAGAGAAATACATTCATCTCATTAAGTTGGGGATTTTTCTGTTCAAATACGCAATAAGAAAAAAAAACTGCGAAAGTGTACAAAACATTTAGATACATCAGAAATTCAGAGTGAAAATTGGAAAATCGACGGGGTATATAAATATTTAGAGGAACTTTTTGGAAATGGACTTGTAAAATTCTCTTACAAACTAGAATATTTTACACAGAAAAAACGCCTCGAGCGAGAACTCGAGTTATTGACTTCCCGTGTCATGTATCTTCCGAGTGCTCGAATAAATAATTCTGTTTGGTCCTGTAGGCTTCCAGTGTGAAAGCAGAAGGCTTTACGATGTGCTGTAAGGCTGGGGGTGAGTCAGTCCTGGAAAAATGATGTTTGAAAGAGCTCTCCAAGCGGGTTTACACTCTACAAGTGTCGTATTAAAAGGGAAGGAAGGTAGGTTTGCTTGAAAGAGGAGTGGGGGGGGGGGGCTAAATGAAAAGTATGAAGGACAGTGCAGTAATGTTGTCGTTTCCTATTACAAAGTGCAATTCTGGTACATTTACTTAACTCTAAGCTGTGTTAATACTAATTCTTGCAGATATTGAAAGTTCTTCGCTAGACACAAAATAGATAATTTTGAAAGCAGCCTACTTAGTTCTTATCAGTACACCAGACTAAGGATGAGAAATATATTCGAAAGCAGAGACGCTTGGATTGTATAAGTACACCATATTAAAGAGATAGAAATATCCCCCAAAAAAGAGGAGAAAAATAATTCCGCATCGAGCGTGCCGTGCCGTGAACTCAGCTGGTATTATTGTGGGCTATTATACAATGTGGTCACCCAAGTTCTATTCCTCACTTTTTATATACCAAAAGAGTTTTTTTCATCATTTATTTTTCTTTTTTCTGGGAAAAGAGAGGGAGGGGGGGTTGTATATCCTTTTCGTCTCGTCCGCCTTTATCTGTCCTATTTATCTGTGATTTACAGCAAGATATCTGCAAGGGCATGTTTTGAAATCACTAGTCTTCATGTTCGCATAACTTTCATCTCGATGCCTTTTTGGTATGGTCTACCCCTTCTATTTTTGTCTGTGTTTTACTTTTACCCCAATCTCTTTGTAATGTTGGTCCGCATTAGACGGTGATAAACCGAAGGGCTTATTTAGACTATATACATATATATTATATGAGCTTTGAGAGAAGTTACATAGAGTGTTCTTATTTGTAAACTGCTGTTTTCGGCAGATTATTGATTCTCTGGTGAACAGAACAATGTTGTCTAATTAAAGAGACGTCATAAATATATTCTAGAAAGCTTTAAAGAGCAATCTGCCTTTTTAATAAAACAATTCCGTACAATTGATTATGCTATTCATTAATATCAGTGACGCCATCGCAAAAATAATAGCAACAATAACAACTACAACAACAACAGCAGCAGCAGCAGCAGCAGCAGCAGCAACAGCAACAGCGGCATCAGCAGCAGTAGAAGAAATAACAGCAACGACAATTATAAGGAAGACTTCTATGACAACAACAACAACAACAACAACAACAACAACAACAACAAAGAAACAGCAACAACTTCACCACAACCATGATCACAACCCCAACAACAACAAAATCAAGCCCAAAAAATAAACAAACAAGGAAAACAATAATAATAACAACAACAACAACAACAACAACAACAACAACAACAACAACAACAACAGCAACAACAGCAACAAAAACCGACTACTCCTAACTCAGTGTACATCACAAGGAGTATCATGTTTAAGAAACCCGTCTATCGCGAGCCACACAAGGTCCCTTAAGCGTCTGACTTGAGCGTTGCTACCCGGAAATGTGCTCTGTCTCTAGACAATTTGATCCGCGTTGGCTCTCATCAAAAATGAAAGAACTGATCCACTCAGGAGGACAGGCCTCCGTGAGAGAGAGAGGCCTTCTTATTAATAGGAATTAATACTGAAGATTGGTGGGGCTTGCCGAGATGGTGAAGACCTAAAAGGCGATAAGAAGATAGGAGAAAAGCGTTGACAAACGAAGAGAAAGAGAGGGGAGGGAGAGAGAGAGAGAGAGAGAGAGAGAGAGAGAGAGAGAGAGAGAGAGAGAGAGAGAGAGAGAGAGGGGGAGGGAGAGAGAGAGAGGAGAGAGAGACAGAGAGAGAGGGGGGTGGGGGAGAGGGAGAGAGAAGAAGAAGAAGAAGAAGAAGAAGAAGAAGAAGAAGAAGAAGAAGAAGAAGAAGAAGAAGAAGAAGAAGAAGAAGAAGAAGAAGAAGAAGAAGAAGAAGAAGAAGAAGAAGAAGAAGAAGAAGAAGAAGAAGAAGAAGAAGAAGAAGAAGAAGAAGAAAATAGGACTGTTGAAGGAGGTGAAGCTTATCTCGACATTATTACATAAGGTGGTGGCATACTTGGGGAAGTGTTAAAGAGTATGCTCATGATACGAGGTATTTCCTAAAAATTAAAAGGTTTGCCACAGGAAGATAAAACACCAGTGCGGACGATTTACCTATATTATATTTTGGCTTTAAACACCATGAAAAGCGACTTTCCAGTATAATCAAGAAATGTTGGGCAGCTAACAGAGTAAAAACGTTTACACTCACTATGGCAAGGATTGTGGGATAACACAGTGTTTAATGAGATAGTCATAGGGAAAGAGGGGTGCCTGATGTATTCAAAATAGCGCATCAGTGTGTAGGAGGAAAGTACAAAATTACCCTGAGCAGGTCTTACAGTAGAATGCATCACTGTGGTAGACCGTCTGGTAGACTGTAGTTAGTCAGTCGGGTGGGACTTGCGGCAGATTGTATTATAGCGATAGACTGTCAAAATGTTACATTGAAATCACATACTACACAACACCACACACATAGACACACTTTTACAAGTGTTTTTACAAACACACTATTGCCGGTCACCACTTTGCTGTGACTTATTTCTGAGCTTTTGTCTTGCTCAAGGACCCCCATTCCCCAACTAGACTCAACCACAATACTATTTTAAGACCAATGAAAGCCCAAGTCTGTATAAACGCACAAAGAAAATGTTTAGTAGATCGTAAAAGACTTCAGACCGTCAAATAGAAACAGACTGCCCCAGTACAGTTGCAGACCGTCAAGTAGAATAGAGACGTTGCGGTAGACTGTCAGGAGGACCGGCACTGATTTACTTTAGGTATACACTGTGCTTGCAAATTTCCCAATGGAGAGCATCGAAAGTGGTATACTATGTTCAATTTGTACCTGGACCTATTTTCATTGTGGTGTTTTGACATAATATGTTGTGTCTTAAAGGGCCATTGATTACGACTAAAAATAAATAATTATTCTCTCCACTGTCAATCAATACTGTCACATGATACACACAACATGCTCCACTCTTTAAAAACTCTTGCGTCCTGTACAATCCACGCGCAATAATACATGCACTATAAAAGATATCGACACCAACGCCATTGGCATCGTTTATCTTTCATTTCTCAAATCATCGTCACCATCATCAAGTGTCGTGTCTGGAGCAGACACTGGCAGCCATTGTGTTCCCTTCCTCTCTTTCCTTCGAGGCCCACGTAAATGAGTTGTTCATTGTGTTGTTAGTTGTCCATGTGTTCAGGCTATGAGAATTGTGTGCTTTAGCGCCCGCGGTTTTTTCCCTTTGCATTTGTCCTGTCATGCGTAGTGTTTTCCAACCCTTTTTGTTTACTGCATACATGCCACATGAATTTCATCTGTCTCCTCTTTATTGTCTCGATGAGTGATCTTTTCATGTTTTCCATTTTCTGAACTTTTTGGTTTGTCTTCTTTTCTGACCATTGTGTTTTCAGCATTCCCTTAATAATGTAGTTTTTGTTGCTTCTCACACGTTATTATCTAATATTGCTATCCAAAAAAAAGCTCTTTTAAAACAATCGTTGCTCGTATTCATTGTATACACGACACGTTATTGGGTAAAAACTGTTGCTATGGATGTCGTTGCAGGTATTTTATAACGTTTTCTTTAAAATATCAACTGGAAAAATCCAGCCATATTGTAAAGTACAATCTTTATTATACCACAGGGTTAGTGTCCTTTTCGAAATTAATTCAGCCTACAAAACGGAAGGAAAATGGGTTTTACGTTTCACTTTACTGCTCTTGTACTGCTGCTAGATTTCTCTGTTGATTGTATTATTATCATCGGACAAAAAAATCTCCGAAAGAAATGGATGGAGAAAATAGGCGAGAGGGAGGGGCCTGAAGAAAGGAAAAGGGGGGGGGGGGGTAAACATGTATTTTAAGTATTCAAGTATTCATTTTTTTAAAAAATTTTTGCTCACCAGTGAATAACGCTGCTGGATAGAACGGTTTCCTTGTGCTTATTATACTGCAGTAGCGTTGCGCAGGAACCAGTCTTGTGGGTATTTAACGTACGATTATGTACATGTATATTATTGTCTCACTGTTTTATAGATTTAATTGGCAGATAAAGAAACATGATGTGGAGTCGGCGTTGAAATTATATTTCTTTAAAAATTACATGTATTCAAGCTTCTTGCATTTACTATTTTTGTGTTGTGCAATACAGTGTATTTTTTTAAACTTCTAACTTGCAGGTGATGAGGTGAGACATCCAACAAAGATCAACCGCGTCAACCCACAACAAAAATAGAAAAGTGAAGTTACGAACACCAGAGACCAGCGTCATTCATGACCTCAGTCTACCTTCTCTTCACCACCACAATGACGTCGTACTCCTCGACTTTATCATTATTTTCCTCGCCAACAACATCGTCGTCGTCAACGTCATCGTCACTGACTTTATCGTCAGCGATGTCGACCACCATCTCCGCTGTGACAGGCAGGGACCTGGAGGCGGATATTCGCGCGTTCTGGGCTGCCTTTCCCTGCCCGCCCCCGTGGAGGCCCCAGATTCTGCTGGAGGTGAACGCTACAAAACTAGAACCTCACGTCAGCAGAACAGTCCGGGCGTTTCTGGCAGGGAAATGCGACATTGCTCACATACTCTCTGGCCACGCCGGCTTCGACGGAGATTTCGGGGACTCTGGCAGTTCTCCTGGGTTTGGGTTAGGGTCAGGTTTTGGGGGGTCGACGAGTGGGGGAGGAGAGGGTCATGACCCCGGAGGTACGTCCCTCAGTGACCCCAGGAGGTCGGAGCAGCCCTGGTGTGACACGGCGTGCCGACTGGCTGTTGGCTGTGCTGTTGTCTTCGTCATCATGGCTGCTGTTGTCGCCGTGCTGCTGTGTGTCAACCGGTGAGTGATGTGTTCCGAGTAGTTCTGGGACGAGCTGGGGATATAGGGTCGATGAGGAGGAGGAAAGGAGAGGAGAGAGTGGACGGAGAAGAGTGAGGGAGGGGGGT